TGCGCATATGTTATTTTTGCTATAAGAACAGAGTAAGAATAAAGATTTTTTCAGGTGATGAAACCTGTGCTCAGAAATAGAGGTCGTTATTATTCAACAATTCTTTATACTAGAGACTGTTTGCTGTAAAACTCATCTGCATGCCCTTAAAGGTCTTTGACCTGTAAAGGGTGTCTCAAGTCAGTTCGCACGCTTCTTTCACATGACACCTCGAGGTCTCTGTACCGCTAATTTTTAAGGTTTTAACCCTGGTATACAAAACTGAAAAGGCTATCTAGAAAAGTGAATTTCTCACTAAGTTATGCGTTCTAAAGTTGTAAAATATAATAGATTGTTTCTAGAAATCTCTGTCATTTAAGGTTCTTGACTTAACTTGCTTTGAATAAAATTTAGTGATTTTCAATTTATGCTATGCCATCTACTTTTAAATGCGTATTGAACAGCTTCATCCTGACTAGTTTATTAGATACAGAGAAGGCAAGATTCTAACTAAATAAAAAAAATGTACATTTGTACTTTTCAAAAAAAGTATGTTTGTGTGAAATTTTTTGCTTCTTTGTGTGGCAAAAATTGACAATAGTGGTTTCTCAGAGTCGAGAGTTAGAATCTGAAAACAACAGTGAGACTAAAAAAAATTACTGCTTTTACAATAATTTTATTTACTTTACAGCGACAAAACAGTTTTCACCCTTTTTTGAAAGCTATGAAAAACGACTGAGAAAATCTCGTACGTTTTAACTGCTCATTATTTGTTTAGAAATTGTATTTTACATAAAAGTATTACCAATTTTCTTTTCTGCAAGATTGCAAAATATTATTTTTACTTCAGCGTTGTTTAATATCTTATTTTTTTGTATCTATAAAAGATTTTTAGTAGAATTGAATCACTTAGCGTATATTTAAAAGCGAAGAATACAGCAAGTTAAAAAATTAGAAATTATAAATTTTACGAAGAGCGTTTTAAGCCATGAGTCCGCAAAGATAGGCATTTCAAGCAACAACCAAACGAATTTAATGACTTTGGTAGTAAGCACTAACTTGACAAAAGAATTCAATTTTTTGTTTTCTCTTTCCTACTTTTCATTTCTGACTGCAGACTGTACTAACCAATAAATGTTGAAAAATTCTCAAATACTAAGCAAAAAAGGTGTGCGAACTGACACGGAACAACTCTCATAAATTCTTTTTTGTATCTGAAAGATGGCGAACAAAAATAAAAAATACATGCATTTGCAATTTGAAAAAATATCTTTACATCCTGGAATACTAGCAAATTTATCTCACCAGGCCATTCTAAATTTGATAACATCAAATTAGTATCTGTAGTATTATACAGTACAGCATAGAGCTACAAAACAGGTATTAGTTTTAAAGCTTTTTTGCTTTATTTTGTATTAATATTGTTCCTGGTTTTTTTTCTAAACCATCTTTCTTCTCGCAATGATAGTAATAGAATCATGTGTTGTAAAATAGTCATATATATTTTTTTAAACATTAAACTGATAGCCAAATACTTGACTTCCTAAACATTCAAAATTTATCCTTCTAGCTTTTTTTTGAACATTTATTTTATCAGTGTCGCTTTAAATTATAATATGTAAAGTTAAAAGAAAGACGTATAAATTGGTTCAGTTTCCTCCATTAAGATCGCTTTTTCGCAAAAAAAATTTATCATATATAGATTGATAAATGTGACAAGCATCTCTTGCTTGTTGTGTTTTGCTGTTATTTGTTTACTTTTCTGAGTAAAGGAATTTTGCTCTTTACACTGTGATCAGCAAATAAATAAATCTAGAGACTTTTCTTACAGAAAGGCGATCTTATACTGTTATTCTGCTTCTGATAACAAACTGACCTTCTACTTCGTCAAAAGCTCTAGTCTGGTTTCGGTATACATTCTCGTAAAAGACGCAAAAGTTCTCGGAAATTCAAAAAATAGAAAGCAATAATTATGTCTAGAAAAGTCATTAACAACCTTAATTATGGAACACAGTTGTGAAAGCCTTCTTTAAAACTTCCGGAAGAGACGCAATTAACAGGTGACAGGTGCAAAACTACAGCAGATTTTTGAAGACAAACCAGCTGAAAAGGACAACACGTAACTCGAGGACTACTCGGTGACTTTTAGTCAGACTAGCTTCATCCAATTGTTCATTCTAAGACCATGCGGTCTTTCTATAATGTACATTCTGAATAAACGGAAACAAACTCGAAATCAAATTCGTATGCGGTTTCGGTTTCAAAAAGTTGAAATTGTTTCAGCAGAAAAGCATTTTATTTTGACTGATTCTTCAGAAACATGTTGAAATTGGAAAAGCCTATACGTCAAACAATTTTCCAGCGTTGAAAAAGTTTAATTTATTAGCTGCAGAATGTTACATTTATCCACCGTAATCGTTCTCTATTTGTTGAACAAAAACTTTCTAATTGGTTTTGTTCAGTATAGTTTTGTAGCTGGAAATCAAACGTGTCCAATAAAATGGGTAGTGCTAAATGAAAGCAAAATAACCGTTCCATTTCTTTTTTTTTTTTTGTACTTTATAGATTATTTTTTTTCAATTAAAAACTGCTCAGCGTTACCAACAATTCGTTTAGTTTTTGCCACTCAGAAAGGCAGGTACAAATTTGATGAAGTGCCAGTTTAAGAACAGCGTTGTTTTGCAACTGCTCGTTGTTGCGGCGCAACAAGAAAGTACAATAGTACAGTTACGGAGAGGAAAGAAATGGGATCGATCAAGCTAGAATGTTGTCATTAGAGCCTACGAGGAAGCAAAACCCCGATCGGGTAATTAGCATAAACAGTCTTTAACAAAAAATCTACAAGCATGCATTACCAAGCCGGCGCCAGCAGGATTCGTTTAGAAGGAGATAGCGGGAGCAAGAGGGGTTCTTTTCGAAACATTGCACTTTGGTACATAGACGGTTGAGGAGATCTGGCAGCTTGGTCTCTGTTGATAATTGCTGTATTTATTGCTATTCATTAATTGATCTAATTTAACTATTATCTATCAAAGGTGGGTAATTTTCTCTCAAATTCTGTGTGCAATAATATTTGTTTTGTTTGGTGTTCTTTAAGTTTTACGTTGCCTTGTTAATATCCTCTTAAGTCATCGTCTATTTTTCTCTCAATCCTCGTTTCCATCTAATCATCTTAGTCTCTTTTTCTTTCTCGTATTCATACGCTCACTTTTGCACACTTTATATAATCACTGTTTTAAATTTTAATAAAATCTTTAAAGTTAAAATATTTAAAGGTGTTGTAGTTAAGACGCGGCCAACAAAAATTATAAGTTACAACACTTGTCACATTCATCAATCTGTTATTTTACAGCGTTTATAAAGACTGACAAAACAATTGTGAAGTTAAATACTATTGTTTTCAAACTTAGAATTATTAATGCGAAGGAAAGAATAATTTCAGTAGTGGCCAGCAACATTAAAACGTGTTCAGTAATAAAAAACAGTTTTTTGCGAAGGTAAAAATTGCTTATTGATAGTCGTATTTGACAAATATGTCGTTCTATTATGTTTTGTGGCGTCTGAGCAGCAAGAAACTGTAGTTGTTAAAACCTGATCTTGCTTATCATGACAAGGAAATAATACTGTAAATCCTTAAAACTAAAAAAAATTTTATAATCTTTTAATTCTCCAAAAAAGTTTTTTTTTCAAAAATTTTATAGTTTTTTTTTAAACTTTTATTTTTTTTAAAGAACAGCCTCAAAAACCCAGAAGAAGCGAATAAATGTTCGTCAATTCGGTCGTGTGTTTATTGCCCCTGCGTTTAAATCTTTCAAATAACAATCATTCATCAGTTACACTGTCAGCAGAGTTACAGCACCAAATAAAAAAGATACTAAAAGCCAACAATGGTTCCGCTGCATAAAATTAAGTTTTAGTTTGGCAATGCTGAACGACGGCACTCGATCGTTGCTTCCACCGGTGAGCCTTCTGATCAGATGTGGCAAACGCACTAATTTTCCGTACTCCTTAACCATTAATCTATACTTTTCGCTGCTCTTACTGTACCTTCAAACAAAAACAGAACAGATTAAAATAGAAATTTACATAATAAAGAAAAATGTCACACTGTGTGAATTTAGCGCTGAAAATTTATTCTACTTCATAAAGCCTTGAAAAATAAACGATTTTTTTAAGGATTCACTGATTTGCTGATAATGACGATAAGGAGAGAATGTTCGTATTTGTCACTTTCTGACGTTTAAAAGACCTTCCGTTCCTCTACATTTCTTTCATCTAATCCACTTTTTTACAGGTGCCCCTGTCTTTTCCCTGAATTCTTCGCCTACGAGACACAAGAAAATAAAAAAAATAATAAAAACCGAAATTTTTTTGCAGTGCATGTCTCCTGTTAAAAGCTTGATATGTGGTTACTTTTTGTTGGCTTTCTGTCGCCGCCGCAACATTAACAGGATTGCAGACAAGGATCGCATCAAATACGGGATCAGATGTCGATATATGTGAAAGCCAGCGGTCGTTGATGCGATAGAACTGCGCCTATATGTCTCGGTATGAGGGTCACCACCGACTTCATCTAACATTTGAGTGACGTGCAAAAGGTGAGAAGGGCGGCAAAATATGCTTATATGGATCCTCAGCCGGAAGAATGCTTCAATGCTTCTTGAACAAAGATCTTTGTTTACAAAATCTTCCTCTCTTCAGATAACCAGTTTCGAACCTCGCGCTAATAGAAAGCCAGCGTCTGTGCAATTAATACTTAACTCTGCGGCCTTTGTATCTCTTACTTCCCTCGTTTTAAAATCTGTTATATGGATTTGAACTCTATTGGGTGACGAAGTCGTTGATTTTTATTGTATTTTGGGTATTCCCAAGTGCTTTATTTCATTTGCGATTTTTAACCCTTCCCTATTTTCATTTTAGCGTCTGTCTTATTTCGAACAATTAGGCGATGCGCTCAAAAAGTCTCAGGAAAATAATACAGGTATTGCAGCAACAATGAAGTACAATTAAGTTGAAACACTTCTTACCCAGAAAACTTCTTGGAGAGGCTGCTCTGAAAAAACTATTCGCAAAAAAGCATTTCTGCTTACTTTGTTTCAAAAAGTTTAAAAAACATAAAAAAATGATAATTGTGCAATATCTCTTCATCGCACATTTCTTTTTCCATTAAACCCGGACCCGGTTTTCTGACTTAATGGAATTTAAAAAGTTGTCGCTTTTACTGTTCACTAGCCTTCTTTCTATAGATAGCACTTTTTTTAAACACCAAACGAAAAGTTTTTGCTACCCAGTAAAACACATCTAAATATATCTTATTGTATTTTCAACTTTTTTTGATTGGTTTTAATATTCGGTAGACAGCTCACATTTTGGCAAAATTAAAATGTTCTCAGATGTCTTTTTCTGAAGACCTCCTTTACAGAAACTTTTAGTTCAGTTTTAGCATTATATATTTATTTAGCTTAAAATAATAGTGAGATTGATGTGCTTGTTTATAAAGAATTAATTTTCCCCATGCAATTACAATATTTTATGTCAAAACAACTTTCTAGACTGAAATATCATTCCAAATGAAAATGCAAAATTTCTAGTATGGCACTAAATCATGAAAACTATAAAGATTTGTTGACAACAGTTTGCAGTTGAGCAACAAAGAAATCGGACAAATACTCTACAATTCAGTGAATAAAGATTTCTGAAACACTAAAATAATTGTACTTTTACTGTTCAGCACTATTTTTGAAGGAAAACTTGTTTTAAATTGCAATTTCTTTTCTTCGTTACAGAAATATAATTGCATAAAATGATTTTAAGAATCATAAAAATACACTCTTTCAATTTTTAGCTTTTCATTTATTTCCTATGATTGCTTTATTTAGGAACATTTAGTTTTTTAGTTCCTTCTCCCTTATTTCGCATTAAAAAGCATGTAGCTTTTCGTTCTTGTGACTAGTTTAGCAGATATCAGCAATACCAACTGATTTTGAGGCATGAACGAAAACTAAGCATTTTTAAATTTTATGGCTCAAGCATATCCCATTTTCAAAAAACTGCTCAAGACTTTATCATTCGACAAACGGAAACCCCGGAAAAGACTAATAGTAAAGGACTAAAAGACGAAATGTTGGACAAGAACTTTATAGCAAATTATTTGCCATTTTTTAGTGAATTGCTGCTTAGTAAAAATCCGCTATTAAATTATAATTTCAAAAAGAAAAAAAGAAAAGAGAACCAAAGGATAAAGATCATACATTTTGTTGTCAAGAATTGTTTGAATGGCCAGTTTAATTTTACGAGCTGTTAAATTTTTTTTATCCAGTATTATTCCAATGTTTTTGCTGTGCATTATGCGCGCATTTCTGTACTGATCGGCAAACAGAGGTACTAGTATCATTGGTTTTCCATGAGTTAGTGCTTCCATTACAGAAGCCCAACCTCCATGAGTTACAATAGTCAAAAACTTTGGATGACCTAAAAAAAGTAGTGACAGTTTCCTTTAAATGTTTGTTTATACAGATCAGCGCATCAAAAAATGATTGTTTCAAACGGCCATATTTGGAAGGGCGCATACTAAAAAATGAAAAATTATAAATTTCTCATAAATATAGCATATATACATATATATATATATATATA